CAACCCAGGTGGGGGGGGGGGGCTTTTTGGAAAATGGTGTGGTTAGTGGCAATACACACGGGGGCGTTTGGTTTTATTTTTGGGGGGGGGGGGGGGGGTGTGTGGTTAAGACGATTTTGGGAGAGGTGGGGTTGGGATTTGGGGTTGAAGGGGTTAGGTTGTTAGTTGGGTAAACGTAGATACGTACCCCTGGTACACCTGGTTGGGGCGGTGTCGGTGCATCTATAACACCATTAAGTTGTGATGCGGTCGGTTTTTTGGACGCTGGTACAGTAGATGAAGACTGGGATTGTGGGGGCCCCATCGAACTGCGCGTTGTAGTATTTGAATGCGTCGTGCCCTTTGTAGCCGACGAAGGCGTCGATGCCGTCGCGATCGACGGCCTACTTTTAGTACCCGCACCAGAACTACCAGAACCACCAGGGCCACCACCACTCTTCATATCCTTCAAAAACTGCCGAAATTTATCCCGCCCAATCTTCAACTTCACAATGAGTTTATCAGGTATATCAGAGCTGTCATCTCGATAATCCTTCCGTCGCGCTGCGCTTCTCGACTCGTGCAGGTTTGTGACTTCAGGCGTGGCAGAGCGTACGAGGTTGGCGCGCATAGCTGCCTGCGCAACAGATGCTGCACCACGCATACCTCTCGTCCTAGGTGTGCCCTGCGAAAGATGCGAGACGGCAGGTGAATCTGCGGAAGACTCTTCGCTGTCCGAATCATCCGAATCATCCATCCCATCACGCTGGCCGGCAGCTGCTCGTCGACTCCTGCTCGTGCCTGAGCGCTTGAAGAGGCGGCTGTCTTCGATCGAGGATGCCGCGCCCGGTATGACAGACGACACAACCATGGTACGAATGGTGCGTTGGCGGTCTTTGAGATCGGGCAGGGCGGGGCCGCCACGACGGTTGACGGAGCGCTTTTGACGTCGCTGTTCGCGCGATATGGAGACTTCTGTGCGTTCGAGTTCGGCCTCGTTGAGCTCGTAGAGGTATGGGGTGAAGTCCTTGGCAGATTGGAAGGGGCGGAAGGGAGAGGGGAGGGGGGATGGTTGGAAGGAGGCTTTGAGGTCTGGATCTTCGATGGGTCGGCCATCGAAGGGGTGGGAGAGGATGTAGAGGCTTTTGGTAAATAGTTGGATTTGTTCTCTGATGGAATGGGCGATGGCTGTCATGAATTCTCCTGGCAGAGAGAGATCTTTGGTCATTTGGATGGCGAACTCTTCGGAGGAATTAAGTGGATTGTTAATTTCCCATTCGAATTGGTCGACGAGTGTTTGTTGGCCGATGGTGATGTTAAGTTTGACAAGGATACGCATCTCGTCATTTTTATAGGCGTGGTAGGGTAGATGAGGGTCTAGAGGTTCCTCCTCAATAAATACCTGAGGATAGAAGTCTGCCAGCTGGTCCTGGATGCTTTGAGAGATCTGGCGCACTAATGGTCCACAAGATTCTAAAGGAAGGCCCAAGTCCTCAACCAACTTTTCTGCAAACACATCTGGCGGAGTGACTCGGTCATGGAGGTTCCAGGTAAATGTGTCTCGCAGTTTAATCTTGTCCCAATCGATATCTAGACGGATGGGAACCAAATCTTCAAGCTGTTCTGCTTGTGTAAGCATATCATCCCGCGAGATGCGAATGTCCTTTGCTTTCCTTCCACCAGGTCGTCTTCGATTAATGGGATAGAGAAGTTGGGGATGTTGTGATTTCAGATCTGTTCGCGCGTTTCCGAACCCTTCATATCCGGAACCGAATATTGCACCCGGATTCTCTTGGCGCTCGGGTTGTAGGGATAGATAGTAATCTCTTTCCGCGCGCTTCTGTTGGAGAAGCTCCTGATACGGATTTTTCCAAGCCATTATCGCAGAGTGGTGGAATTCACGGTGAACATATTGTTCGAGTAATATTTTATCTGCTGCCGTTTCGCGGGTACGGACGGGGAGGGCAGTTGGTGGTGGAGGGGATGTAGAGCGTATTATAGAACCTGATCGAGATCGTTTCCGACTGAGGATAGCACCGTTTGAATGTGGTGTAGTAGAGTTTGGTGATTGGGGTCGGTTGGGAGAACTGGTATGGGAATCAGAGGGCGCATTCGCATTGGTTGTTTCAGATGATTGTATCACCCCTTGTCCATCTTCTATCTCTTCAGCTGACACTAATGGAGCGGAGCCATTAACAATTTGTCCATTAAAGGTCGCGTTTGTCGTCACGGGATCCTCCCGATCAGCCCGCAAGTCATGTTCCGTTGGGTCAGTCGCATCTTGCAGAGGACTTTGGGGTTCAGCATCTTGAACGGAGGCAGCAACCTCCTGCGTATCTGGAGAAGGCATTTTAATGGCGACGGAGCCGCGGTTTCAGGAATATAGAGGGTTGCGACGCCCGCGGGTATCGTTGGACACCCGTCTGATATTGGTTAGTGGGGACGGATTTTCGCCAACTTGACCAGACGCGGAGCTATTAAAGCATTATCCGCGATGCCGCACGAAGGCCCTAAGGTAACAATGGTCAGCAAAGTATAATAAAATAACTGAGCAGAGATTAATTCGACACAAGGAAAACCACTATTAGATTCAACACGCAAAATCCATGCTGGCGGGCCACGACGCCATCATTGAAGGTCCGTTCACGTCACGACCCATGGGCCGAGGATAGGGAAAGGGAACACATAGCCAGTGGGGAGAAGAGGCAATGGAGAGAAGAAACAGCCAAAAACCAAAATGGGGGAAAAGCTAAATGGAACGACACAAAACATACCCTTCGATGACGGACGACGTGTGTTATATGGTTGTATGTAAACTTCTGGGTGTATATTCTCCAGCCCCCAAACAGGGCAAAATCACGAGTTGGGTGTTTATTCAACGGGGCGTTTCTAACGGAGCTAGTTAGTAGCAATCTCGAAACCTCAGCGCTTTTGTCGGGATCCCAAAATTGGTTGGGCTTGGAAATCTCTCGAGGTCCTTTCTTGCTACCGCTATTTGCCCCTTTGGTCCTTTTTGTTCGGCTTTGCGCATTTTTGTCGCAAATCGTTTTTTGACGGTTTGAATAGGAGGCTGAGATGGGAGCGATGAGTCAGCAGCGCAGGGGATCGGAAAAATATACTGCCGGTGGCAGAAGCGCTCCCCGGACTTACTTTTATACTCTCGAGGAAAGATGTTATGGAATGGCATGTGATGTGGTTGTTTACCTAGGTATACAAACCGTGGGAGGGAGTATTTACGAACACCTAATAGGAGGAGGTTATTGTCTATGGAAACGATAGAAGGGTAAAACACGATGCATTTTTTTGAGCACCAGAACTTCCTACATCAACCCCGCATCGGCCACAACAGCCCGATGGTCCGAACTGAGCACGCCGTCATCAAACTTATTAGGAAGCACAGCATACCCCTCAATAGTCCACGGCATGCTCGCAGTGCCCCTCTCAGGGCCGAAAAGAACATAGTCAATCCTCTTTGGACCCTCATCCTCATACCCGAACCCGGTATAGGTATTTACGCTCCCATACCGCAACGACTCCTCCACCTCCTTATGGGCATCTACCAGAGATGACTCAGCGCCAGTGAGCACTATATACGCCTCCTGATTCTCCTCGCTGTTGAAATCGCCCGCAAGGAACACGCCGTTGATGTTCCGACGTGCCAGCTGGGCCTGCGAGAGATACGCGTTGATCTGGCTGAGGATTAGCTTTGCAGCTTGATATCGGGCCGTGGACCCCTGGTCGTCCAGATGTGTGCTCATGGCCAGCACCCGTTTCTGGCTCGCGTGGTGCTTGAAGACGCCTATGGTGACTAGGCGGGGTGAGGCGGCGTCCCAGCCCTTCGAAGGCACGGAGGGTGTCTCGGATAGCCAGACTGTTTTGAACGACTCCAGGTCCCAGATGGAAGGGCGGTAGAAGATGGGTGAGTATTCGCCGGCCTGCTTGCCATCCTCTCTGCCCACGCCGATGTAGGCCCATTCACCAGCAGCGCTTGCACAGGCACCAGTGCCAGTGCCAGAGCCAGTGCCTGTGGAGCCTGTAGAGTGTTTGGTGGGACTGCTGTTTAGCCCTGAGAGGATGTCGGTGAGTTGGCTGTGGAGGACTTCCTGGAGGCAGATGAAGGATTCCGGGTTGTGGCGGGTGTGGTAGTGGAGTTCATTGAGGAGGGGTTGTTTGCGGTACGGCCAGGGCTTTTCTCCTTTGAAGGGAGCGGAGGTGGCATAGCGGATGTTGTGGGTTAGGATGCGGATGGGTAAGGGGTTGGATATTCTCATTGTGTTACCTCAGGGAGGAGGTTCAGATATCTAATATATGTATGTATCTAGATCTACAGACAGTGGGCCATCAACAATGGTTGGGAGATACTCATCCCAGGTCTCCACGAAGGCATTAAGGAGTCGAGATCGCAGATGGAAGAGGGGAAGATGCTCTCGTCCACTCGATCCGGGGGAACATGCTAATGCATAATAACAGTAGCTTAAATAACACCACCACTCTCCGTCGAATCGTCCATGGCGCATGACCGGTTCGTGATAGTCAGTTATGGATGAGGCGTTACCGTCGCAGTCGGTAAGCAGTCCTTCTCCGCACTTCCAGTTAAATGTACCAATCACAAAGTCATGTGACTAGATGCTGTTTCTGAGACGTACTAAGGTATCGGATACGTTGTCTTAGCGTGGATGATACGCTTATTGGCGTGTACCCGGTACTTATTTTATACGGTATGGTTACTATTTCCACAGTTTTCCCGTAATTGAACCAAGAAACGGTTTCCCAGATTACCGTCGAATACCAACCCACAGTTACCAGCAAAGATGATGATGGTTGGGGTTGGGTGGTGAAATGCTGGTGTTCGCAATCTATTCTAGGTACCTTTTTTGCCTGTGTATTTGACATTGCAATGAAGAATTCATCAGCAACAGTCCTTGTAGATAAGACAGATAAATACTCTGTTAGCGCATGTAGGTACATGTGCATTAGTTCTGTATATGCATACGGTGGACGGCAGACTTCTTGGTGATTTGATGTTCTTCTCCTTTCCACTCAACAGGCCCGCACACATTAACAAGTGTGTTAAGTTAATTACTAGTTGCCTTTGAAACAAACACAGATCTTTCTCCGGGCTTGCTCCAAGGTAACTATGTGCACACACGAGCTGCCCACCACAACCCGCTCCCTCTCAAAATATCACCCCTCCCCAAAACCCTAACACTCCCAACCATCCAACACTGCACCCCTTGTATCCCTTCCTACACATTATATAACTCCGACTTCGATTCTATCCCTCGCAATTCCACTGCGAGGAACCCCCCGCGTCCCGCAATGGTCGATTCTACTACTGAGATCGGTGAGTGTATTCGAACCTACGACAATGTTTCCGCACAAGCATCTGTTGTCGAGCACTTCAAGAACCGCACTTTGCAGCAGTCTTGTTGTCAGCTAGCATCGGATTATTTACTATATTTATTCATCACTGTTTTTCTTTCTATTTCCTATCTATTTTGTATATATTCTATGTTGTTCGATTCCTTTGTGCGCATATTAAAAAGCTGCTTACACCGCAAAGGACACGGGTGTGTGTGGACTGCTAGAAATTACATCATTGATAATTTACTCTGCAAAATAGAAATTGATCACCATTTTTGCTAACAGACTACACTCTCAACAACCCGGATACCTTGACAAAGTACAAGACTGCTGCGCAGATCTCGCACAAAGTCCTCGAGGCTGTTACAGGTGCTGTGGACCCCCGCCCATCCTTTCTCTGTAACGTTTATTGTCACCTGCAGATGTTCTGCTCTTTTTGTCCCCTTTCTTCCCCACGCAACAGACAAAAGGAAGCGAGAAAGAAAGGAAGGATGGAAAAGAAAGGAGCCTCCCAGCGATGGCCAGTGCATCCCCACTGGAGGAACACGCCAATCTACTACTGCCCTCCCCGGAAGCTGACTTCGCAAGGCTAAATATAGGATGGTGTGTTGAGGGCGCAAAGATCGTTGAGATATGCGAGAAGGGTGATAAGCTCCTGGATGAGGAAGTTTCCAAGGTTTACAAGGGCAAGAAAGTCCCTAAGGGTATGTGCACAATTCATCATCTACGGGAGAACCCCTACATGCAAGTGGCAACAACTCCGGAAACACCCCGGGATACATTCATATAAACGCATCATTCGTCCAATTATTCATATTCCCTATTTTTGTTTTCCCACCAGGAATCTCCCACCCAACCACCGTCTCGCCAAGCTCATTCGTCACCCCGTATACCCCACTGGTCTCGGACGCGGAGGAAGCCGCCACAACCCTGAAAGCTGGCGAAATCGTCAAGATCCAGCTAGGCGCACAAATCGACGGCTTCGGCACCATCGTCTGCGACAACATCGTCGTCGGTGCCGGCGATGGCACCATCACGGGCCGCAAGGCAGATCTGCTGTTGGCGACTTACTACGCGAACGAGCTGTTGCTGCGACTGATGGTGCCACCGGGCCTGCTGGCCAGTGGCTCTGAGGAGGAGAAGAAGCAGGCCGCGGCCGCCAAGCCGCCGACGCAGGCTGTTATGACGAATTTGTTGGAGAGGGTTGCGAAGGCGTATGGATGTTCGTTGGTGGAGAATACGACTAGTTGGCTCTTTGAGCACAATGAGATTGAAGGGAAGAAGAAGATCATCATTGCGCCTGGCGCGGGGGTTAAGGGGGAGGGATCGCCGGAAGTTGGAGAGGCATGGGGGATTGAAGTGGGGCTTTCGTTGGGGTCGGGCAAGGTGAAGAATTTTGAGCATAGGCCTACGCTGCACCGGCGGACGACGACGACGTATATTCTTAAGCGGCCTAGTTCTAGGCAGACGCTGTCGGAGATTGTGAGGAGGTTTGGAACTTTCCCGTTTAGTCTTAGGCAGTTGGAGGACGAGAAGGCGGGGAAGGTTGGGGTTGTGGAGTGTGTGCGTGGCGGGGTTGTGAGGCAGTATGAGCCAGCTGGTGAGGCGGATGGGTCGCCTGTGTCGAGGTTATTAACTACCGTTGGTATGTTTTTCATTCCGTATCCTGAAGTGGAGACAGGGGGATACGTATTTCAGGGGTGAGATTGATTTTTTTTTCTCTTTCCTTTTTTGGCTAATTTTCCTATCTACCCTCTACAGTGATTACCAAGAATGGCTTGACGAGGGTTGCAGCTCCTCCACCTCTCGACCTGTCAAAGGTCCAGTCCGACAAGAAGATTACAGACGAGGAGATTCTGAAGATCCTTGAGCGGCCGTTGGCACGGTCCACTGGGACGAAGAAGAGCAAGAAGAAGAAGAAGAAGCCTGCCAAGAAGGCTGCTGCTGCCAACGCTCCTGCTGATGCAGCTGAGGATGAAGAGGAGTCTAGCGACGAGGAGTAGGGTGGCGCGTCCTGCTTCTTCTTTTCCCTCAGTCGGCATCAGCTTCGCCTTTGGTTTGGCATGGTCTAATTGATAGGCCGATGTATGTACAACTGGACCAGGTTGCTACTGAATAGAAGGGGAGTTTTATCCTTTATTTTTATTTTGTTCTTTCCCGTCTTGTTTCTGTTGTTGCTGGGCTCATCCAACCTAGAGTGGGGGAAATGCTTCGGGGTTCTCTTAAAGGTTACTGGGAGAGACGGAGGTCAAGGAGGTTTTGGAAAAGGGGGGAGATATCAGGCGGTGGGAAGATTGGAACAGGAGATTCTTCTCTTTCTCAATATCTGTCTCTTTACCCCATCCCATCCCATCCTATTCCAACTCCCCTCCCCTTATTTCTTGACCTGGCTTGGTGGGATCTGGATATATCCAGCAAGAGAAAGAAAGAAAGAAAAATAATACATATATACCTTATTGAAGGAGAAAAAGATCCAATGCAAATGTAGTTCAGTCAGTCCCTTCCTTGTTGTATGTGTCTCAACCTTTTTGGCTTGTGATATCTATCCATGAGTGAGAGATGCCTTCATCCCCTTTAATGCCCCGGAGCTTTCCTTGTGCCTCTTACCTGCCTAGAGGTATCCCACCCCTATCCCCCCCTCTGTGGGATGCCTATACCTAGGTACCTATATTATACCTGGGAATCTACACCTCCTTATCCCCTTACACTCTCTCTCTCCCCGCGTAAATCAAAGCGTCGTCCAAAGTTCGCCCGCCTAGAGACAGTTTCCAACAACCATTTTTTATCTTCAAGGAGACTGATAGTCGGGTGAACACATACGTAGACACATTCAAGAGTAGGAAGCGGATTCCCCCTCCCGATCAAGAGCAAGGGAGCGAATGCAGCTATGTTCTCTCTATGCCGGAATACTTTAGTTATACGGCGTATACGGATTCGTAGAATAAAAAGGATTTCATGCGGAACTTTCCCCTTCTCTCCTCATCCGCCTGTCTCTGTTGGGATCATTTTCGTTCACCCATCCCCCATCCCCCCTCACTCCTCTCTCCTCTCTCCCTCCAGTACATCTGGGCAACTGTCCCTTTGTGGAGTTGGTTCGTGTTGCTGATATTTTAATATGGGAGGTCAAAAGGAAAGTAAAAGGAGGAAATCCTATTCAACTGAAATGTGTGCGTAGTTATCCCTTCATTACCTCCCCGGGATTGGGGTGTTTATTGAGGTGGGGGGTGGGTTTCATCCCTCCCCCCCTTTTTTTCTGATGTTGAGTTTGGGCCCCCCCCCCCCCCCCCCCTTCTTCGTCTCTTTTCTCATATCTTTTCTCTCTTTTTTTCTTCCTAACGCTGTCACCTTCTCAACTTTCTCAGCTTTAACGTCTCCTTTTCAACCTTCGACTCAAGCAACTTCTCTTACTCCCCAACCTCTCTCCATCCAACTCTCTTCTCTACCTCCTTTAAATCTTCTTCTCACTCACGCCACTATCCACTCTGTTTTACGCTTCTCCAATCATCCACCCTCTCTTCTACCACACGCTCTCTCATTATCCTCCTTTCTCTAACAAATCCTCCATCAACGTCTTTCTCTCGTAGAATCTGTAGCTTGTCACTTCAACTTCAGTCTCTATCACTTCAACTCGAGGTTCTCGCGTCTGCATCCTCTCCTATCATCCTCCTTCTTGTACATCTCTCATCTCTCGTTCTCTACATTACTTCCGCCTCACAAGGCAAAAGCCACTCTTTTCCCGCTGATCTCCTCTTTTCTCCCACACAACCCACACGAAACACACCCAAATCTCTCACCACCACCACCACCACCACCTTTCTTTCTCCTATCACAAGCACAACTGTGGGATTCTCTTGCTTATAACCTGGGACTGGCCAGAGGAAGCAGTCAGATTCTTCTATAGGTGTCTCTTGCACAAGGCGGTCTCTGTTATCTTTCTTAAAAAAGCACGAATCACTGTCTCTGTTGTGTGCGGGTTTCTCCCTGTCGTTTGCCATCACCACCATCTCTTCTCTCTTGTTATTAAACATCTCACTCCCGCTTCTCTCCAGAAAACAGTATATCCAGCTGTTCTAGCGAATTCCTACTCTCTGAGGAATTTTGTCCCTACCATAAACTTTTTTTCCCAAAAACCTCCTCGATTTACTCTCCTCTTCCTCTCTGAGTTGAGAGCCCCTGAACAGGACCTGCCCCTCCAAAACAGCCTCCACAACATCAAAATCCGTCAAATAAAATATTCCACCCTCTCTGCCGCTACAAGATCTACAATTCTACGCCCTTTCAGGCCCGAGATTAGAGAGTTGGCTGTTGACCCTTTTTATTTTTCTGTGTGGTGTTGTTGCGCCTTAATTTGCTCCCCGTTCTCACACTTCCCCCCCCCTCGAATCGTGTGACTTGGCTGTTCTGATCTTGCACGTTTTCTTCGCCCAAGCTCTCAACCCTTCCAACCCTCTCCCCTTTCCAACCCTCACCCGCCAGGCACTCGCCGGCCCCACCACGGTTCCTACCCACAAAAGCTGTCTTTTTGTGGCCAGCTTAGGAATCTATTTCCTGTGAGTTCCTCCAATCTGTTTTATTTGGTGTCCCTGAGCTAAGTCCTGCGGCGCAGCTAAAGAACCCTGGTCGCGAGCCTTGCAATTTTTGCAAATGGCTCCCAGAACACGGTCATCCCACAACACTTCCCGTAACACTTCTCGCCGCCCCTCCTCTTCGCTAGAAGCGTCTGAACCAGCACCTTCTTCATCCGCTCCAGAGGTACCCAGACCACGGAAACAACGAAAAACTATTCATGACGCGAGTGTCCCGACCGACCAATCTCAAGAGCCCCTGCTCAGCCAGGCGTCAAATTCTTCTGCATCGCAGCAAGACCAGCAACCTACAGACCCGGAATATACAGAGCAGGATACTCCAGCTCGGGTCCTTCGATGGAATGAGCCCTGGGCTGAACCTCCACTAGCACCTCCACTTCCAAGTTACAAGACAGATTCCAAGAAGAAGACAAGGGCCTTTGCTCTGACCCCCAATACGCCGCTAGGAGTGTATCCTTCAACCTCTTTAAAGCGAAAACTCGGTCTGCTACCCACTGCGAACGCTACTCCTGTTCCAGCCAAGAAAACAGGTAGTAAGTCGGTAAAATCTACATCTGCTGCGACAACTTCTGCTGAAGAGGCCGGGCCATCCGAGAGTCCGTTTGGAGATCTCTTTGAACTATCAAATAACAAATCACAAATTATACATCCCCTAATCTCTACAATGGAAACCACCAACACCAATGCGGAGGCCGCACCTGTCAGCGGCCAGTCACGTCCATCTCTTCTTGTCAATACTCCGCTGAGTCTGAAACACAAACCGGAACAGATTTTCCGAGTCGTGGATGCCGTGATCGCACGAGCTCAAGCACTCAACGATACCAAAGTCGTTGCGGCGATGCGACACATCAAAGAACTCACCGGAACGGAGAAATACGTTTTCGGCATTCTAGATGCCGTTATGAGTGAGCCGGAAGGTCCAGAGGAGCGGTCTCTCTATCAGAGCCTGGTACGAGAGTCTGCTAAACAAGAAGAACACAAAAAAGTCCAAGCTTACGAGGCCCAAGGCGTCACTGCGATGACCCGTACCCAATCATCAATTAGCACCTCGTCTCTCTCCTCCGCGAAGTCTCTGGACGCTGAGACCTTCGCCCCTGCAATGACCACCGGTCGTGCTGCTGCCCCCGCCAAAGGCAGAGGAGGTCGAGGTGTTAAGGGTAAACGGCAGCAGGTAATCAGATCATCTCGGTCAATCTTTCCGTCACTAGAGGACGCAGCGACTCGAAAGCGGAATAGGTTGGTAGACCCTGAGTACTCTGATGAGGCCCTTGCGGCCAAACGCGCTGCACTGTCGAGGCCCTTCACCGATATCTCAGTGCCGGAGAGCAACATCCGAGACTCCGATACGCCCGTCGCTCACGAGCCAGCCTTTCTCATTCCCTCGATTGCTACTTCAACTGGCAGCAAGAGGTCAATAGAAGCCCTCGAGTCGGGTGGAGAGGACGATGGAGTTCCATTGACAACTGAGCTGGTTCCAAAGAGAGCCCGGAAATCAGTAGCGTATGTATTTTCTTATCTCTTTTTTCAGATTTCCTGTCTTTTTATTTCATGATTTAGTTTGTTGTCCAGGCTAACATTTCGATTTCTCTTACAGACTGGCAGATGAGATGGATAACATCGACTTCTGCCATGCGTGTGGCGGCAGTGGGCAGCTTCTCTGCTGCGATGGATGCGTAAGCTCCTACCACTTCTCCTGCCTGGATCCCCCAGAGGACCCAGAATCGCCACCAGAGGGACAGTGGTTCTGTCCAGCTTGTGATGCGAAGGGTCTCTGGGGTGCCGCGCTGGAAGACTTGGAGGGGATACCTTCTAGAAACTACGAGCTGCCAGCTGGCATCCGCAGCTACTTTGAGGGAGCCGACACTGGTGAAGATGGGACATACAAACATGTCCCTGCTCTTCCGAAGGGCAGTAGTCGCTCTAGAGTGAATCGCACTGGCCGGCTCGAGGACGGTAATGCCTATCTTAGGCTTACTGACGCCAAAGGTAAATTGATCACTTGCACTAAGTGCGGCCATACGTCCGGGGGGCGACGTATGATCATCCAGTGCGACTACTGCCCTTGTTCGTGGCATCTGGATTGCCTGGACCCTCCATTGCCCAATCCTCCTCCACAGGTGCCCGGGAGTGACAACCCGGCCCTGTATTGGAAATGCCCGAACCACATCGATCACGACCTGGACCTCATGGACGGCCTGGAGGGAGGGCGATTGGCACAGCTCCGTCGTCCGAGGAACTTTAGGTTCGTCGATGTTGAGGTGTTGCCGACCGACAACGAGGCACAAAACCTCAACGAAGAAGAGCTGTCCGGGACGGTGTATCGGGTACCGGAACGCGGCCTCATTTTAGACTTTGTCTGTCGGGTTAAACGGTATGACATGGTTTTTTCTACTTTTCTTAATCCTCCTTCCCTGCCCCCTCCACCTCCCGATTCTGTTATCAAGTGTCAAACATTGCTAACTTCTCTCTAGCGACCGCGCGGAAACCCAAGCGTTGGCAGTTGTTGCAACACAAACAGCTCGGGTTATAGCTTCTTCGGGTGGCGCCTGGGTCTGATTTGACCGCTCAGGTTCCGGAGGGAAATGTATCCTCCTCTAGATATGTGTCGGAAGCTGTAATGGTCTCCGACCCAGAAGTACTGGGTGATGCAGATGCGGCTGCCAAAGCTGCATGGTCCCTCTTGGCCCCGGCTGAGCATCTGGCAGTCATGGCCCTTCAGGCCATCGCAGCTGGTCCCCCGTCGTCCGGGGCGCTCGCGTACCCTGAGCGGGCTGCACAGTTGGTTACCCAGCTCGTTGCGAACGCGCCGGAGAGCATTCGCAATGAAACATCGCTTTCGGAGACGGACATTCTCCGGTCAATTCAGGATTTGGTTGGTCGGCGTCTCAACGCATTGACCTCAGACGCTACTCTCCAGTGAATACTCTTCCCCATTCGCCGTGTTCCTTGACTGGTTCACCCAAACGGTATTTTATTGGTTCTTCGGATCCATTTGTTTACTGCTCCAGAGATGGGAGGAAAATTGGAGAAACGGCAATTGAGTGATTTGGTGTTGAAATATTATCCTGGCCTTGGGTCTCGGATGCTACTAACCAACTAGTACTCTTTCTCGTTCCCTGTGTTCCTTGACTGGTTCATCTGGACGGTTCTCTATGGTCTTCGGATCGTAGTTTACTGCCCCATATATTTGAGGAAAGTTGGAGAAATAACATTCTTGAGTGCTACGGTTTTTGATTGAATCCTGGGCTTGGAATCTTGGGGTCATGCGAACTAACTAGTACTCTTTCTCTATTTACACTATGTTCCCTTGATTGGTTCACCCGGACAGATGATTTCGGATCGTCGTTTGGCCTGAGATTGGAGGAAAGTTAGCTGAGCTTGCTTCGAGTGAAAATTGCCATTATTTACACACGCGCTGCATCCCATTTCCTGAGCCCCCTTCGTGGTATCGTTTTTCTGGTGTGATCCTCCCCCCCCCCACACCCAGGAGCGTTGTCACCTCACCTTGATTTGACCGAACCATAGGCTCTGGTTGTGCTTCTGTGATAGATTGGCAGGATATCCAGATCACACAGCCATCTTTTCGGGGATCCTGGTGTTGCGGCCTTCGCTGCCTTGTTCGTTTTGTTCGTTTTCGCCCCGGTGCACCAGCACTTTCAATTCCACGGAGTCGTCCTCCGTTAGGGCCTCCGCTTCCGCCTCCGCCCCTTCACCTTCCGCCCGTGCCGCCATCGCCGTCACAGCTATCATCGCCATCGCCATCACCGCCGCTATCGTCGCTACTTTTTTTATTTTGTAGACAAATATGCTTTCGTGGGGCGATTACGAACGATCGAACAACAACAAAAATGAATCGAGAAAGGAACCGGTTTTGTCAATTTTTTAATTGATATTTTTTAAACCAAGGTTCGTTCCAGTGTACAAGATTGTTATTGGTGTCTTTTATTCTTCTTCTGCCTTTTTTTCTTTTTATTTATTTATTTATTTATTTATTTTTGGATGCATTTAGTTTGGAGTCTGGATATGGGTTTAGCTGGTGTTTGATGCGCTCTTTTGTTTCTTTTCCTTGCTTTTCTTGGAGAATCTTGTTATAAGAACTCACTTGGTTTTGAATTCTTGTTTTAGGTTTGCGGAAGGGTGTTGACGGGTCGAGTTTTATTTTTATTTTTGGAGAGGTGTTTGGGGAGTTCACAACTCAAATCCATAAACTCCCTTTCATGTTGGTTTTGAAGCGAATTGCATATGCGTTAGTTTGTTATTTTATGTTTATTTTTTTCACTGTTTCCTGTCTTCTCTTTTCCTTACCAGCGCCCTATCGGCACTCATTCAACGTCAATCATCATCCATCCTTCTTCTACGAGTCAACGATTCGGGCGCTGGTAGAGTTGAGCACTTTTTTTCATGTATCACAGGTTTATTGCTGTGTAAAAGCCATCGACACGAACCATATGCGGCTATTTCCTTGTAGTCGTCTTTGTCAGCATGTTCGATTTTTCAAGTCTTGTCTTGTTTACGCAGCTCTTCATGGACGTCTGCATCCAGGATTTCGTCTTCTTTCTTTCTCTCTCCTCTGAATCCGCCGCTGAGACGGCTTGCTAATTGTTATCCATGTTTGCCTCTTTATTTTCCTGTATATAGACCGCTGAACGCCGAGGTGTGACTTGTTGCCTTTCGTCAGTCAAACCTCGCAACACACAAGGAAAATGCATACAAGTCTCACGCAGTACATCGCCATCCATATGGCTCTATGTTCTGTGTCTACGTGTTTGATGGTGTGATATGAGGGTTTTTATACCCCCCCCCCCCCCCCCCCCTCTCCTTTCTAATAGATCGAACGGGGTCGTGGAATCTGGGGATAGAATTCCACTGTTCTTATCCTCCTCTGCCTTTTATCGACCAGCTGTGTCGTCATAGACTTAAGAGAACAGGGGGTACTTCGGCTTGGCGGTTCTTGGTGGCTAATGTCACCGAGCTTCGATGGAAGGAAGCTTAGCAACGCGGGAATGTCGCGCAGGGAACTTACAGTGGGGCTCGAGGGGCTGCTGTTTTCTTTTTCGTTTTCTTTTCTTGTCTTGAGCCGGGTTGTCTTTTCTCCGTGCTTCGTTTCTAGTTCAAGTTTCTGTTCTTATGGTGTGCTTCGTTTGGGGTGGTGCGGTGGAGGGAGAATATAGGTTATGATTTTTCTAAAGATTCCCTGTCTATTTTTTCGGGTTAACTAACTAATAACGTAACTTAGAAGGGGCGTGGCTTGGTTTGCAGCAGCTGGATGGATGGGTTTACACTGGTGCAGTCGTTATTTATGATGGCATTTCATCCAAAATCTACTTGGCTACGATATAGAGTAGTATAACAGTACGAAAATAAAGTGTGGACACGGGACCATGCGGCAATATATAGCATAACACAGTAAATGGCATTGACAACGACGATAACCGCAGAGCGGAACAGATGACAAGGGGCAGAAAAGAAGACGTTGAGCATAACAAAAGATGTAATGTGCAGGGAGTATTGTGGAGGTGGTAGAGTGTATCTGACATTGGAGAAAACATGTGAGGGAGGAAAAAGGCGGGCAAACAAAAGGGAAGCAAAGCAAGCAAGCACGGGCGTGGAGACGGAAAGGGGCAAAGCCGGAAAAAGAGCATACGCGCGTAGTGGCATCAGCCAATGCAAAAGCAAAGGAAGGCTGGGTGAGTCTCGAGGCTGAACTGAGTGCAGGGTTAAATGGTTATGGATATATGGGATGCGGTAGAGTACATTTCGAGCAAAGCGGTAAGCAGATAGGTTGAAGAGGTGGGGGGTATACGTGGCAGGATATGCTGTATAACATGAAAGGAAAAGAGAAGAAGAGATAGATAGGTGCAGATGTTGCTAGGTAAAAGGGGAAAGGGGGGGTAAGGAAATGTAATGTCAACACATGGTTTGTTGTTTTGTTCCGTTTTCTCTGATGCCTGGACAATCAATAATTTTCATTTTCTTTCAAAGAAAAAATATTTTTCTTTTAGCAGTTTGACCACTTCATATTCCTCCCATTATCATATCCGTTGGACAGTTGATGGTATGGTTGCTTTTTCATGAACGTTTTCCATCTAAATTTCTGTTGTTCTTTCTTCTTGAATAAACAAGAAAAGAAAAAAAAAGAATTTTTTCTATTTCTATCCTTTACAAAAATTTCTTTGGTAGGTTGATACGGCGGCGTTTATAGAGGATATACGAGCCGGCAAGGGCGAGTTGAATCACGAATATTAGGAAGATGAGGAATCCCATTCGTGGCGTGGAGGAGAGGATTTCTGTTGAGAAAGAGGGGGTTAGTTGTCACGTTCGAGAATCTTCAAACACCTAGTTCTAAGGGAAAAGGATAGAGGGAAACAGCGCAAGAAGCGATACGTACGATTCGAAGTTGACTGCAAATGCTCAATAACCCCGGAATGCGACAGCTTAAACTGCTTCTGCACGCCCTCAAGCAATCTATCCATCCGCTGAATCCGCTGTTCAATAGTATTCACCTGGTCACGGTTTTGCGCTAACTTTTTCAGTACTTCCTTGTGGCGCTCGTCGAGTTTGCTGGATAAAGATTGCATTTCATTAAGGAGGCGTTCAGTGGTTGTTGTTAGGGTTTGGAAACGGTTCGTTAGGTCGTTGAGTCGGGCTTCGAAGGCGCTGGTGTCGGCTCTTGGGGCATGTTGTTGTTGTTGTTGCTGTTGTTGTTGCTGCTGCTGTTGCTGCTTCCCGTTTCCATTCTGATTTCCGTTGGGCGTTTGCTGGTTTTCATAAGAGCGATGCTGGAATGACTGGTCCCCCTGCGCTGCATTGGGTACACTCAAGGCGAACTTAAAGATCTCGAAAGAATCTGGGGTATCCGCTGACGCTGCGGTGATTCCAAATGTGTTTCCCGGCGGGAGAACCACCTGTTGACTGTTAGTTAGAAAGAAAAGAGTAAACATAATACTAAGAAATTCAACAAAATCACCTTCTCCGTAGCAAAGCAGCGCTTATTATCAACCAGGACTTCAAAAGTAGATCTCGTCTGCTGAATTTGAATATGAGAGAGACGCCCAAGATTTCGATATGAGTAGTCACAACGTCCAAAAGCTAGGCTGTCAACGTTGGAGCTCTTATAATCCGTATTACCGTTGTTCAAAAACCCCCGGATGCTGCCTCCCTAACATACAAGTTAACACAAGCTGATTCGCCCCATAGTGGGAAACGGCGGAGAGATGCAATCTTTCGGTTGGTATTCTCCACTTACTCTTCCACCGTGCGTATCAATTGCAAGTGCAAATCCGTCGAAGGGGCCAACAGTGTATATGGAAGCTGTGGAGGCCTTGGACTGTCCATCCTTCACGTACCACAGCTGGAGATTTCCACTTCCTCTCTCCTCGCCGTTGGCTCTAAATTCGAAATCGACGGTCCATTCCGCTGAGTCAAGCCTTGCTAACGTGTTAATATCCCTCAAGAAGTCCCCTTGGTAGTTGGATAAGAGTAACTTACGGTTGCTCCGCCCATAGGGAACCCCGTTTATTGCCAGCATGTGGGGGTGTCAAAATAACCCGGTCAGACAGCTGAACAAGGCATCAATAGGTATACCTCATTCACAGTTGAAAACACCTTCTTGTAAAAAAGAAAAGAAAGAAAGAAAAAAAAAAAAAAAAAAAGAAGCCACCACGGACCTTTACAGGCATGTGTCCTGTTCCATATATCTTCCAGCCGGGAATCAGCTGCTTGTCCGCCGATATCCTGGAAAAAGGTCTCTGTCAGAGAAGCCCAAGTTGGATATCCAACAGGAGATGACCGTTGACAGCGTGAAGCATAGAACATACCTGCCATGAAGACCAAAACTTGACTTGTCAATAATGGTATCAGCGTGCGCAACCAATGCAAATGCCAAAGCCAGTGCTAGGGAGAATTTGGCAATTCCCGATGATCGAACCATTGTGAAATATATCTATGGATAATATGGATATCCTCGCATACATCTGGCGTGGAGGCAAACCGTGGAGCTGTGCTATGGAACTGCTCTAACCCAGCAAATAGTTATGGATCGCAACCGCAACCGCAGGCCACCCAAGCTACCAGAACGGTCCCTCTTATCCCGCCGCCTCAGCACGCGGATCGCCCTTTTGAGGTTGTTGCTGATGTCCGTAGGGAGTGTGGGCAATATCAGGAGGCTGTGTTCCAGGGATTGAATTTGGCGGGTATGCGCTGAGAAGGAAGCCCCTTAGGACACCGTGAAAGCCCAGTATCAAAGAAAGAGAGAAGATTCGCTCAACGGCTGCTCCACATTATTTCTCTTTCTTCCTTCCTGCTTTTGATGACCCCCGCAAATCAGATAGATGAATGCTCTACCACTAATCAAACGTAACGTCTATCGTTCCAGTCTTGTCATTCCACCGGGCGTGTGTTCAAGGGAATACTCTCTCCATCCTCTTGTCGCCAATTCAAGCGTCCGCCTGTGGGTTGATTCGGGCCAGCTTGTCCTCAAGTACTTCGTCCAGGCCGTTCCCAGCTAGTCAATCAGGGGGGCCTTGTGTTTGCAGGACAGCCAAACACACCCTTGGCTTATATCAGCCACATTAACTAGTTAAGTTAACTAGTTAGTTATAGTTAGGCCTACAAACAGTGCAAACATTCAACCTCCATCAAACTCCAACCCTTGGAATGTGAATGCGACAGGGGAAAAAGGGCCCTCAGATTTGGAGAAATCCGGCTGCAGATCTTCTCATTTACGATTTTCTGCATATTATCCAACCAGGAATCACAAGCTCCGTGGCTCCAATCATGTTCTATGGCTGATTTATACCCTTCATTGGCGCAATGCGCCATTGTCGCGACGGCATTCAAGATCCTCATTTTTCCGGCCTAGTAAGTTCTGCTTCCAATATAGATATATATAGATATATATATTTTATTGCAGTTTCAATTTAAATATATAAACTGGATTGGATTTTATGATTGAACATGAACACCAACGCCCCAAAAAGCTAATGCGCTTTAAACACCCATTTGTAGCAAATCGACCGATTTCGAAGTCCATCGTAACTGGCTTGCAATCACGCATTCTCTCCCCCGGGGAAAAAGGGTTTTTAAAAAGGGGAGTGGAGCCCTCGTCTAATAAGACACCTCCTTCTTCTTCTTCTTCTTCTTCCCCTCCTTCTTATTCGGGGGGGTTATAGACAAACGAACTAGGGAACCCCCCGAAA